ACCAATTTATTTGAGCATGAGCTTTCGTGAGCCACAGCTCACTTCATCACCTCATGCTCAAATAAATTGGTTAGTCTCTAAGGTGCCACAAGTACTCCTTTTCTTCTTCCAAATTAAGTAATTCAGAAGTGAAGGTGGGGAAATATTTAGTCAAAGATCTCACATCTATCACTGGCTCATACAAGCTGGCAGGGCCACCTTCAGCATTTCCCAGCCTTCATTTCAGTATTCTCTCCCCCCTTCAGTTCCAATGCATTTTCCATGATATCTTTCAATCTTCCTTCATTCCGCCTCCCACCCACTCCAAAAATGAAACCCCTGTGGAAGGATTCTCCCCTGCCTCTCAGACCAGGCTTCCTCCTGCCCTTCTGGAGCACCCTCAGCTCTTCACCACCCCAGGGGAAGGCAGAACCAGGGTCTCACCCCTTATAGGGTTTAACAGTCCGCTGCTCAGCCCAGTGAATATCCTGACTCACCTACTCCACTATCATTGTGCGGCTTTCTCGAGGCTCTTTGTGCTGTCTCAGAGTAGCCTGCAGGGGGCATTGGGGAGCTGCTGCAGGGATAGTAGTAGAGTACAACAGAACCTGCTTCTCTACACCATTTGATTTTGGAGTTACAAGCTCCTCCCACACGTTTACATACATGAGTGCACAGACAGTGCAAAAACACGGTCAGCTACACTGTCACTGTCTTTGCTCAGAGCATCACTATATCCTGCATCAGGTCTCTGATGCATCACAGTACCAACACACATGCAAAGCTCTGGGGTTGCAGCTGCACAGTTACAGGGCATTCTCCCTGCAGAACACCGCAAAGAACCAGGCAGCACTCAATGCAATGCACACTATCCCTTAAACACCTGTTTCAAGCTACTTCCGTTTCATGAAATAAGCGTTTTCTGTTTCATACACTGAAATGCAGGAATCTGTAGGCTTTTCATGTTTAAAATACAAAGAATATTTTCATGCCATAACAGTGTCATTATATTTTACAAAATCCATGGTGCATACAAACTCCATTAGAAAATGTACATTTCCATGGCCGACTTCTCTTTTCTTTTGACAAAGCATCTCCGCAGCTGTGGATTGTTATTCCCAGAAGCCCCACGTCAAGGATGCGTGCTGGGAAGAAAGGCTATGTACCCACAATGCACTGTATCACAGTTGCTGGAGGCAGTGTCATGGGATATTTTACTTCACGCTTCTAAAAAACACATTTATAGGTGTCAGTCCAGTGCTCAGGTTGCCTATCCCATAAATTACATCATACACATGAACGAAGACCTGAGCTTGGCAAGACAACTGATATCAGGGGCGTGCACGAGGGGAGGTGGGGGAAGAGAGAAGCAGCAACACAAACTCCCCCCAGTAATCGTTGGGGGCACAGAACTCCTCTGGCCTTGGTCCTGCGGGGGAGGGAAGAGCAAGTGCCTGCCAGGGCTGGGGTGGGGGGCATAGAACATGCCCCCCCAAAAGGCATCAAAGTTAAAATTCTGCGCATGCCCCTGGCTGGTATGGATGCACAGCACCCACCACCATTTGCAACTTTCTCTAACACAGGCAAATCTCTAACATTCAGCAACAGCCCAAGCCATTCCCACAGAAGACTAGAAACCAGAATGAGTGGGGGAGGGGGAAAGAAAGCCACACAGTATCCCGGGATGAATCCTTTGGCTATGGGCCTACCATTTCAGATAACGGAGGGGGCTGAGTAAGCACCCACCAGATAATCAAGGCTCCACTGTACATCAGTTTGTTAAGCACTTTATCAGTGTACTATCACTGTCATCATTAAAAATAAAGCATTGTACTTATTGCTTTGAAGGACTTCCCTGTAGCATGGGAAGCTCAACTCTTGCCTCATTCCCCACCCTCTCCATACACTGCACCACACAAGCTTTTGTAAAAAAAGTGAGATAAATGAACCATGCAATAAAAATTGTTGAAATTGGCTCAGTCTCCTCCTGATAAGATCACAGTGTTGGGAAAGAGCTACAGCTCCCTCGATGAGTAAGCTGATCAAGATTCACTGTCAAATGCATTTGCTCAAGGGGAAAAAAAAAAAAAAACCAACAAGGTTTAAATAGGAGATGTAGAAACCCAGTGTGCTTGTTACAAAGGCAACCCTTTGTGGGTCTGTCTCATGTAAAACCGTAGGGTATGTGGCAGCTGGAAGGGAGCCTCCCAGTCAGGGCAGACAGACTCCAGCCGAGTGCATTACAAATAGCTGCATGGCTGTTGCACTGGATCTGAGCTTGGGGTGGCTGGACACTGCTAGAGCCGTAATCTCCCCACTGCTATTTTTAGAGTGCTACCTTGAGCCCAGCAGCGCAAGTGGCTCCCCAGGCTGGGAGCCTCACCCCTAGGTGCACTGTAGAGACGTCTGTGCTTAGCACTCTAGCGAACACCACGCTCAGGCCCACAGGCTCCCTGCTTGCTTCACTCTCAAAATCTTCCATTAAAATATCAGTTTTACTTGCTTTTGTAAGTTTCCAGCAGTCAGGACTCATGCTCAAAGGCCTGACAGCACCAATTTGGGGGTCTGTCTAACCTACAGCTCCAGATATTTTTGTGCATGGATTTAATGCCAAACTGACACCCCTGGAAGCTGCCAGTGTCTAGTTATCCACAGAACAAGCAGCACAAGCTTCCCCACACAACTCCTCCAACATGGCACCTCAACCGCACCGGGAGGAGTGGCAGTGGGGGAGGGGAGAGAGAAAAGGTACTTCACTCTCTCCACAATCAGTCCCTGGGCTGACTGCTAGTAAGGGTGCCAATTATCTCAGTGGTAATTTTGATGTGAACACCCATCCACTAGAAAAACGGGCCAAGACCACCTGCTTATTTCACACAGGACATCACAGACCAACGGGACAGAAATGACTTTCGTCTCGACTATCCTGCACTGGATTTGAACCAGTGATTTAGAGGAGAATTGTCCCCCTCTGCCACCCAATCCTCCAAAGGTATTTTCCAGACATTCAGGTCTCAATCCCCCTTTCATAAACCAAAGATGCACATCACTGTCCCAGAAAATACTGTCCCCTCTCCCTGGTCAGGCAGGTGCGCACATTTCACAGGATCTGTAATAAAGTTCACTTATGTATCCAAGATCAACACTGTGCCTTTAGTTCACATCCTTGTCTACTCTCCTGCTTGTGCATTTACCAGCCACAACTGTCTCAAGAACTAAACTAGCCTTTTCATAACAGTGAAACAGATGGTCTCAGTTTCCCAATCTGTAAATAGTTCTTACCTACTTCTGGTTGTTGAAGCTCAGTTAATTCGTGTTTGTAAAGGACTGAGTTCCTTGGATGTAAGTATTATTAAATCTTATCTGCAGCAGTGAGAAAACATGTAGCTCTTTACTCTTGGATCCTGTACAATCTACTGATGGCAGCTATTATTCTATCCAGTTTCCTGAACAGTCCAGCACTTCCATGCCTCAAAACGCATTCAAACCTTTCAGTATGTGTGCATGGGAAAGGCACCCTGCTGCCCAATTCCAGGGTAAAATGGAAAACCATCCCTTTTGGCATGAACAAAGCCAGGACACTAGATTCGAAGTTCAAGGAATTTTAAAGACTGGCATCTGATACCAGACTCACTAGTAATATTTAAGTGAAAACATGCTGCTACAAAACCATTCAGGTTGGAGGTATAAAAGCCACCAGAGCTGGGCAGTGAAGAGTAGATATTATTTACTTTACTTAGCAATAAATACTTAGAACAGCTACCTACTGCCCATCTCCTAAGTGCCTCTACCTCTCCACAATCCACTTTCATTAAGCGGTCAATACGGTTTCCTTCTCCAAGGTCTTCACACCTCCCTCTTGAACGGTTATCCAGTGCATCTCTGAGACTGACAGACTGTGCTGGGCACTGGCCTTGTCTTCTACATGTGCTGTAAAGCACTGACATTTAGAGCTCGACAGACAGACAACCCTGAAATACTTTTCAGTGAGGAGTTCTGCCATTCCCCCATTAGTACTATTTCCAGATGCAGCACTTCAGAGTCCTTCTGGATGACAGATGCTGTATACGTTCTCAGTCATCTTCACTTTGTCTGTTACTAGCTTCAAACATGATGTGTGAGATATGATCAGCTGCTCTCAAACAGGAGGGAAACTCTGTAAACTGGAGACTAAGCCTTATACCACCAGCACAGGGATGAGCCTTAGGAATTACACAATTAACCTGCAAGAGTCAGTAAATTACAGAAAACCTTCTAACACTTTGCAGCAGCAACTACATCAGCTCAACAGTGGTATAATCTGATCGAAACTGGACCCTTTTTGCTCTCTTTAGACAAGAGTTCTAGCACTTTGAAGATGCACAACTCCTCCACACATTTACTTGGGGTATGGCTTCAAACAGCAACAGCCGCAATTAACAAAAACACACCAGCTGTGAGAGTTGCTGACACAGTACATCTACCACCTAACACAGTGGCCCAAAACACTGAGTGAGGATCATATGGTGGCTCAATGAGTTCACCTAGAGGCCACTCAGATTAAAATTTATCCTTGCATGCTAGGATCTGAAGTCTCAGTGGAACATAATTCTATAAGGGCAGCTGCAATCTATTCTGTTTAATGCAATTTAGGTGCAGTGGTCTAGGATCCTGGCAAATTGCCAAACTGGCCCCTCTGTTGGAGCATCCCAAAAAGTTACTGGCAACTATCACGACACCATATATTGGTTCCCAAGTACACTAAACCATATCTCCAGCACCTCTGCAGCACTCTTTAGGAAGAAGTTTGGTGCTTCCATGCGTCAGTATTTGTCCAGCAAGATAGATTTCCCTGCTAAGAAACAAAGTCACTGCAAAGCTTTTAATATTTGCTCACGCAAGCCTTCTTAGCCAGCAAGATTTTGCCTATTTCTTAACACAAGACCGTAAACAAACTCATTACATGCTAATCATCAGGTCACACACACCCCTCTCTTTCCCCATATGCTGGAAGAGCAGGAAACATAAGATGGGTCACATACCTTTGCTTCATCATTAATGTCCCAATTGAAGGATATGGCATTGTATGCAAGCTCTTCAATGTTACTGATTGTGTTGAAGCTCTCCTTATAGTCGGCTGTCGGGAGGGAGAGGAGAGCATCTTAAACCATACTAAGCAGACAAACTGAATAGCAACTGCAGCTCTTCCACAGTACCCTAAGGGTTAAAGGCTCTGAAAGGCTTTCAGAGGCGGATTGTTAATAAAGGTTGAAAGCAGTTCATTATATACAAAAAAAAGAGAAGAATTAAAAACAAAAACTAAAGTGGGAAAGGCAACGACGCCAAGCATGGCATGTATCTGTGCCATACCCTATAGTTACATATGAGAAATGTCACACTGCATGACAAGAGTATAAGCTCTCAAAGCTCCTTCAATAATAAAGCTGACGCGCATGCAAATCTTTAAGTGCCAAGTGCTTAATCCCTGCCTTTATTCACAGAAGGAAAGGGCTAGGAGCACAACCCAGCTTTCAACCAAGGAAATCTGGAAGCCAGCCAGTCGCAGCCTTGTCTGTAGGCAAGTGGAAATTTGCAATGTTTTCTTTTTAACTGAACCGAGGACTCACTGCAAGAGCAGCAGCAGGAAGGAGACCAAGGAGCATATTTCAACAGGGAGTTTGTCCCCTGAAAAAAAAACACTTACTGTTTAGAAAGTTTGCAAAGCCCAGAGAGTGCAGTTTGACTATACTGGCCAAGATTTTTAAATGCAACAAGTGATTTGGGGGCGTCTCCATTTTTGGATGCTCCAACTTGAGACATCTGAAGAGGGCCAGTCTTTCAGATGGTGTGGGGAGCACTTGGTATTTTCTGAAAATCAGGCATTTTCAAGGCATCTAACATTAGCACACCCACCCACCCCCCAAAATTGAGGCTGCCAAAATACCTAGTCCCTTCTGAAAATACCTTGGCCAAAAACTTCCCTTTAGTTTTGCCACAAAGGTATGGACAGTGCTCAGCCTGGTCTGAAGGTTCCCTTTAAAAAGGGAGTACCACTAGAAGGTCAAACCCTGCCAAGGAAATCAGGCTTGGAGCTTGATACCAGTAATTAGAGTGTTTCTTACCAATGTCAATGCATCTTTGTTTGGCTGTATGCTGCCTCGAGTGCCAGTACTTCCAGTGCCTGATTTGATCTTCTCTTGTTTTGTCTTCGGCAAACACGACCAAGATGACGCTCTTCGTGAAGAGGAAGGGGGTAGGGAGAGAGAAAAACTTTAAAGGCCACAGAGAAAATTTGTTTTGGAAGCTTTTACTGGCTATCAGGTTTTCTGCATTTGGCATGCAAAGCTTAGGAAAAGCCAAGTTACGCCTGGCAAAGTAGAAAACCCTCTTTAGAATGGGAACAAACATGCTAATGTTCTTCAGGGCCATAAAAGAACAAGGTGGTCAGAAGTTGCCCACCTAAAGAGAGTTGGATGCTCTCCTTCCAGGTGTCCATGTCACATAAACCCATTACCACTACTGACTTGCTTGCTTCGCAGGCTCAGAGACACCAGTGACCGAATAGGCCTGGAGACCAATTTAACCTCTTCTGCTCTTCATTGGCATGGCAGAAGGGGAAAGCTGGGCCTGCTGCTGTTGACTTCAGTCTAGACTTGTGTGACTACGGGACTTCAAGGCAGTCAGCCCAGCACCTCCAATAAACAATAAATACCCACAACACTTCTCCCAAGAAGCTGTAAGAGTTGCCACTCACTCTGACTTTGCTGATTGGGTGGTGGACTCCTTCACTGCTGCTGACTTCTTTAAGAGTGATCGGATAAAACTGACCCTTGTTTAGGTACGTCATTGTGCTGTCCCCTGGCTTCTGACGAAGTGACTTGGAAGCTTCTAAGGTGTATTCAAAGTTATTCCTAGGAGACAAAAAGGACATTGATAGCTTCCTGGCAAACTCTTTAGCAAAGTGTTTTACATTTAATTTGGAGAAATTCCAGACTTATTAGTTGAGACACTAAACCCTCAATAGGGAAGGGAGGGGGAAGCAAGACTAGCTCTTTGTTGATAATCAATTCTCTTCATGAGAAAACATTTAGAAAAGCTCTTTGCAGAGAAAATCAATATGTAGGATTGGAGGCTGCCTATTCAAGCTTACTGCAACATGTTCATTTATGTAACAGAAGAATTTCTACCAGTGACCAAAATGCTGTTAAGAGTCATTCAAAGGCTGCTAGGTCCCCTCCTCCTCCCACCAATGTTTCATTCCCAATTAAAAACAAACAAATCCACCCCACATCACCCATTCCCCATCGTAGGTCTCCATACACAAAATCCACACACAGCAAACCTCCAGTGCCTGCTGTAGGTTCTCAACGTGGAGAGAGCAGGCAAGCATCTCTAGGGATCTATCGAGGTGAGGCACTTGGGAGCCAGCTCCAGGAGGGTTCTGCAGTAATTCTTATTCTCTTAAATGACTAGCTGGATCACACCATACCAAGTTGGTTAGAAATCAATGTAAGACTCCTAGATGGCAGTACAGTGCCATTATCAACCCAACAAAGATAGTTTTCCTAAATATTGCAGACATGACTTTCCAGGTTGTTGAGCACTCAGCTTCAGCTAAAACCAATGGGAGCTGCAGGTGTGCTCAGCACCTCTGAGAATCATGCCTAAAGAAAGGCAACGCAAAAGAGAATTCATAAGCAAGCTGCACCGATTAGTCACAAACAAACTGGCTATAAGATCAAGCGGCTACAGGACAACAAAGCTTGAAGTATTACCCAGCAATGCTGTCAAAAACGTAGTCCTCTGAACTCATGCTGGCCATCCGCAGATTTAGTTCAGCAGGAAAGAAAACCTGAAAATACAGATAATTAATTCAGCAGCAACAGAATCAAGATTTAACAGCTGCCAGGTTACAACCCTGCTTCAGCTGGCTGAAATATCTGATAGCTAGGGATTGTGGCTAGCATATAGAGTAGGCTGTATATGGGCCCCGGTCAAATAATGCTTTATATGCCAATTAAGCACAAGATCTAGCAAGCGCACTCTGGGCCAGCTTTTAAAAATCAAGCCTTCCTGAAGCTTGCTAACTACTGGAAATTATGGACATCACTAATATGGACTTAGAGCTTAAAGGGAAGCATTGGTGAACCCTGTAGATTTCAACAGCTGCAAGAAAACAAATTAAGAACAAAAATCAGATTTTTCTATGAGCTCAGCTCCCATTCAGACACCTAAATAAACTTGCCAGATTTTCACAAGCGCCCAGCACCCAGTAGCTCCCATTGAGGACAATGGAAGCTGAGCACTTGGGAAAATCTGACCAGTTTATTTAGGTGCTTAAATGGGAGCTTCAGGCAGAGCTCTTGTAACCTTGGCCCACTATTTATTTACTGTTGCTGCTAACAGATTATTATTTCCACAAGCTATTTAGCCAAAGCTTCCGTCATTTGTAAGATTAGCCATTTGCTTTTGATAATGATTTTGTGTTTTATAGATTTAATTCACTAAATTATACTTATGGACCTTTCTGGGAAAGTCTTCTATTTCTAATCCACAGGACTGAGATTTCAGGTTTACATAACTATTAGAGGTGCAACATGATACCTATGCACTGATTGGGTTGCGCAAACACACACACACGCACAGAATATGGTGGGTGATCCCTGTACCTCTTGCACTCCTTCTTTGAACGTCTCTGAGAAGGTGGAGTCCGGCGTGCGCCTCTGCGAGTTCTGAGGCTGAGCACTGGAACTAAACTGATCAGGGTTGAGATTCCTGTCGAAAACCACCACCCGTTCTGGGGGCTCGGGGTGGTAGCCAGTGGGAGGGATGCCCACAGTGAAGCCATGCGGTTGCGTTTCTGTTTTAATTGAATGCGTGGGCATTGTTGCAATGGAAACAGTGACAGTGGTGTCGGGGGTCGTCAGGTGGCCTCTCTTGTCCATGGCCATTTGAGTAGCGTGAGGAAGAACAATATTGAAAGGCACATTTTTCAGAACCTGCACTCTGTTTTCTCCAGTAGAAATGAGCGATTGTTCCGTCGGGATGCTGTTCCTTTAAGAGGAAAAAAAAAAGGGTCAAAAAAACCAAACATTGAACAGCAGAACTAGAAACATTTATTGGGCTTTTGGCTAAGGTGAAACAGAATAGCAGCTCCCTGTACTGGTGATGATCAACTATATCTAGGGTTATGGGCTCTAGAATTTATAAAAATCTTTATCCATTTCTGACTCCTAGGACCCTAATTTTGAGCTAGAATAGTATACTTGACCTTAAAATATTAACAGCCCATAAACTGAGTCACCCAAAACACAATACACTAAGGGCCCCGCTGACAAGGTATCAAGCACTGAGGGACTCACTTGGTTAGCTAGTATATAAGTTAACATACTATACCACCACATTGATTTCTGTCTTCCTTAACAGACAGAATCAGCTTATCAGAGCTGGAGCAATATAAACTTGTCTTGGTCAGCTCTCTCTTCAGCTTAGCTGTCATAAACATACAGCTAAGGATAGCATAAAATCCCTCCTTTACCTGTAAGGGGTTAAGAAGCTCAAATAACCTGGTTGGTACCTGACCAAAAGGACCAATAAGGGAAGAAGATCCTTTCAAATCGGGGGGGGGGGGGTAGGGGGGTTTGTTTGTGCTCTCTTTGTTGTTCTCTCTCAGACAGACAGAGAGGGACCAGGACAGGAAAAAATATCTCCTAAAACCCTACCTGAAATAAGCATCCAAGATTACAAAAATTGTAAGTAATAGCAAGGAAATGCATTCTGACATGGTGGTAGTGGTAGGATGATAAGGTGTTTGGGGTTTTCCTTGGGATGTAGGTGGGGCCTTGGGCTGCCCCCGGTGGTAAGGTGTTGTTTGGGGTTGTCCCTTCTGATATCCACTCCAACTGCTACTAGCTTTTTTCTGGTTTGGTTCTGATCTCCCCCGCCTCGATTACAGTTCTGGGCTTCCCATCTGGGATGTACCTATCTATTTCCTCAGGAACACCCTCTAAGAACTGCTCCATTTGCATTAGGAAAGACAGATCTTCCAGAGATTTAACACTTGCTCCTGATATCTAGGCATCCCAATTTTTGACGATGTGGTAGGTGTGTTGGGAAAATGCCACGTCTGGTTTCCACCTGAGGGCTCCGACCCGCTGACAGGCATGCTCAGGTGTTAGCCCCATTCTAATTCTGGCCTTTAAAAAAAAAAAAGGGTTCATAGCTGTTCATGTGTTCCTTAAGCATTTCAGCTGCCACCTCTGCTAAGAATCCATTGAGCTGCGGCCTCAGTGCCACCATATACTGGTCTGTAGAGATGCTGTACCCAAGGCAGGCCCTTTCGAAATTTTCTAAGGCCTCTGTATCATCGTCTACCTTGTAGGTGGGGAATTTTTTGGAATGGGGAGCAGCACCTGCAGAAGGATTGTTAGGGTTATCTGGTATACCCAGCTTAGCCCTTTCCAGATTTAAGCGCTTCAGCTCTAACTCCGTATCCAAGCATTTCGCCTCTGCCTCTAAGCATTTCATCTCCATTTCCGTCTCCAAGTGTTTTGCTTGTTTCCTCTCCTCCGCTTCCAACTCCAAGCGCTTTAAGGCCATCCGTCTTTCATGTTCTTTGTCTCTCTTCAGCTTCCAATCTGGCTAACTCTAGTTTCTTTTGGACCTCACTTTCCGTCATCCTAGCCTTCCTGCGCTTAGCCTAGCCTAACCCGAGAGCGAGAAAGAAAAAAAAAAACCCAGCTTGTGAATTCCCTTGCTGTAACTTAACTCCTCTGCCACCAGGCAAAGAAAAAAAAAAAAAAAAAAACTCCAGCAGCTTTCAGCTTTAAAAAAAAAGTATCCTTTAAAAAACAAAACAAAAACAAAAAACACACCTCCCTGGTTTTCAATCAGCCAAAAGAAAAAATGTTTTTAAAATCCTGAGGTCTGTAATTCTGGTTCAAAATGATCCCACCGCGCTGCCACCATGTCAGGGTTCCTTCCCCACTCTGAACTCTGGGTACAGATGTGGGGAACCACGTGAAAGACTCCCTTAGCTTATTTTTACCAGCTTAGGTTAAAAAATTCCCCAAGGCACAAATTCTTCCTTGTCCTTGGACGGTATTGCTGCTACCACCAAGTGAGTTAGACAAAGATTCAGGAAAAGGACCACTTGGAGTTCCTGTTGCCCCAAAATATCCCCCCCAAGCCCCTTCACCCCCTTTCCTAGGGAGGGTTGAGAATAATATATCAACCAAACAGGTAAACAAGGTGAGCACAGACCAGACCCTTGGGTTTTTAGGACATTAAAAACAAATTAGGTTCTTAAAAGCAGAACTGTATTATAAAGAAAAAAGTAAAAGAAGCATCTCTGTAAAATCAGGATGGAAGGTAATTTTATAGGGTAATAAGTTTTAAAACACAGAGGATTCCCCTCCAGGCAAAACTTTAAAAAGTTACAAAGAACAGGAATAAACCTCCCTCTTAGCATAGGGAAAATTCACAAGCTAAAACAAAAGATAAGCCAACGCATTTCCTTGCTATTACTTAGATTTTTGTAATTTTGGATGTTTATTTCAGGTAGAGTTTTAGGAGATGTTTTTTAGGAGTGGGACTTAAAATATCATGAATATAAATTAACCTTATGACCCCATGGTTTGTTGGTACGTTCCGCCCCACCCAGAATAAAAAGAAAAGCCTGCAAAGTTTATGCAAGTGAAACTAATGCATCAGAACCACAGATTAACAAACCACAAATACATTGCAAAGTTTATGGCACCCCACTCAAATTAATCCTGACTACATATTCCAAATGCATCCAGTCCCATAGTACCTAGTAACTGATGGAGTTTTTGTAAGGACCTGATCTTGAGGGTGGTTGGAAGATCAGGACCGGCCCACTAAGGCTCAGTCATGAGCCACCTTGTGTAAACACTGGGGAGTAAATGCTTATCAGCCACCTCCTTACTCCCCTGAAAGGGGTATTGTCACTAGTTCATGCATGGGGGAAAGAGAGCAGTTCCAGTGCATTACTATTCCCTCTCTTGCACAGGAGGTGGTAGGTGGATGGGCAGGCAGGGATGAGAAGTGGATGGAGCCTTGACTTTGAATCAAAATTCAATCCCTAGTTGCTCCTGGGGCACTTCAAGTACCAGCTGTCCCGGACTCCAAAGCCTGTGGTAACTCCACCATCTAACCCTTGGGTTGTAACAAGAGTTGATGTGCCTAGATGGTGCAGAAGAAAGGATTGCAATCTCCATTACAAATGGCAGGAGAGCTGGTGCAGGTATGGCAGCGAACTTCATTTAAGCAGCCTTAGCGATATATCAGGATGTCGGTTAAAGCAAATGTGCAACAATAGAATCCAGTACCTTTTGCTATGATCTTGGTCAGGGTGATCTACATCTGGTTTTGCTGTTGAAGTCCTTCTTTCTCTGGGAACCTGGAGGTATTATACATGTGAGAGTTGAACTGTTCTTATCCAAACAAGGTTAGCTCATTCTCTCCCCCGCCAGGTTTGGAAAGCTAAGTATCAGTCTGTTATGCATCAATTATTTAAAGTACAGTTAACACCTGTAAAGAACTTTACAATGCCAAAATTTATCACCACGACTGTTGCTTTGGGAAGTCAAGTCTATTCCATATGCTGCTAAAAGGATCCCAAACTAATACAATGGAGCAGTACTTTGGAATTTGGATTCCTGCATAGAAAAAACAAGACAAACTGCTTAAACCTTAGGACAAGGACAAGTTTCCAACCTGGCTGGAAAGATCATCATCTCTTATCAAGTGTCAGCAACTGGAATAATGGAATTGGAGGGAAAATAAAGAGTTGTCACTAGTAACTCTGATAAAGAAAACTAACAGGCTTCAATTTGTCTGGTGACTTTATTACTTAGGAAAGATCATCTCAACAGCTCTGGAGAGCGACATCCTTAGTCTACCCACAGGGGTGGTCTATTTCAGTTTCTCATTGCCCATTCACACCTTTGCCTCTGTGGACACTTTTGGTCGGATATTTTTTGGGCCTGGTCTTGGGACACTTTCCCTAGGAACTAGAATGAGACTACTAAGTTTAATAATGACAATACTTGGTCTTTATAGAGTCTTTTATATTCACAAAGCAATATGCAAACATAAGCTAATTCTCACTGTGCCCCTGTAAGGAAGATGATATCCTCATTCTATACATGGGGAAGCAGAAAGAGAGGCTGATGGCCTGCTCTTCAGTGGATCTGAGCTCCCACAACTCGAACTAAAATCAGTGAGTGTTTAACACCTTTGAAAATCAGGCCCTGAACAATTTGTCCAAGGACACAGAACAAGTCAACAGCAGAACTTGGATGAGTTCTTAACACCCAGTCCCATATCCTGTCCAGTCACACTTTATATTAATTATATAAATATTTATATTTATAAATTATGAAGGATTAAACATGATTAATAGATAGCTATAAGCATATCAGCAGAAGGTGACTATAAACCATGGTTATAAGAAACATTGACTTTTAGGACTCTAAAAATGTATTAAAATATCTAAACTTGTGTATTAACCCTTTATGTTAAGGGTATATTTATAAAGGGTGATTCTCGATCAACTAGACTATGATGCCTCTGATGTAAGTCACTGACCAACTCTCAGTAATGGCTTTTGTCATCTACTGACTGGAGCTAGATATGAACCAGTAACCTGGACAAAGAAAAATTCTCCAGATTCCATTATTACCCATCATCTGAGCTATCTAGTTCTCCACTTTTCGACATTTTACTATTTAAAGAGGACTGCTACTTACAGTCCTAACCGGCAAAACCCCAACCAGTATTTTATAAAGCTGTGGGGGAGATATGATGTACATTAGGGATTAAACCGAGATCTTCTAAAGTCAGGATACTGGTGATCAGGATATTTGCATTCAGACTCAGACTTTAAGGTCAGAAGGGACCATCATGATCACCTAGTCTGACCTCCTGCACATTGCAGGCCACAGAACCTCACCCATACACTCTGGTAATAGAGCCAAACCTCTGGCTGAGTTACTGAAGTCCTCAAATCATGACTTAAAGACTTCAAGTTATAGAGAATCCACCATTCACACTAGTTTAAGCCTACAAGTGACCAGTGTCCCACGCTACAGAGGAAAGTGAAATATAAAAATATATCCTCCAAATATAAAAAGGGGCTATTGTCTCAGCACACTGTACCACCTAGTCCTTCAAAATGTAGATCAAAGAGAGTTCATTCAATTTAATAAAAATTGCCAGAGACCACATGCCATGGAGTAGTGTAAGGACACTCACTCTATACTATGGTAACACCCTGTTAAAGAGAGAGATCAGATTATTATATTCTTGTATAATCTCCAAACAAAAGCTCACTGTTGTAATTATTATTATTGTTTTGTCTCCGATAGTTACATGGCAAGGATCTGTAAGCTTGTTAAAAACTTCCTAAATATATTGTTAAAAAAAATACAAATGCAGGTCTCTGATTTATTATTTGGCCATTAAATTTTATTTATCCTGAGGTTCCAGGCTACTCTGATAAAACACAAAAGCTACAAGACACTGATAGTTCTTGTTCATTTAAATGGTATGTGCTAATACATTAGAAGGAATTAACTCCAGACCTTCCAGCACTGAAACATGCTGCATAAGCATGATCAGATACTGCACCTTCACCTGACAAATGCAAGCTATTTAAATTATATTGGAAACGCCTAATTTTTTGTAATAGTAATTACAGGCTGATGACAGAAAACCTTAGTAGAAACAGTATTTTTCTAAATAGCTTCCAATTAAAACCTTTAAAATCCAGTGGCTTTAAGTAGTGTAGAGAATGTAAGAGCATCAGAAAATCTTGACCTACATTCTTCTGGAGTGACTAGGGATTTTGGGAACTTCCATTTTTGGGTGCCTAATTTAAGACATCTTAAAGGGGCCCAATTTTCAGAGGGCATGCACTCAGCAGTTTCTGAAAATGAATCCCTTTCAAGGTGTCTCAGGTTGGGCACCCAAAAATCACTATTAACTTTTGAAATTGTTGCTGTAAATTTCCAAGTAACACTGTTAGAGTTAGGCTAGTCTTGGCTCAGGAGAAAAAAAATTAATTTTTTTTCTACAAAAACCTTTACAGGTGGCAGCCCCACCAGGCTTTAATTTTCTATTCCAGACCTTGGAAGCTCTCACCTGCTCCTTTAACTTAATCTCAGAAAATGACGGATGAATTCTTCCAAAATTTTATACTTTTTTGGCATGTAAGCTTGCCCTCTCCAAACCTTTCCTACAGTTTATAGATGGCGTGAGTAGGGAAGGAAACCCTGAATAAAATACCAATGCATGGCAAATTCTTTGTGCTTCATTAAAAGCTCTTCACTACAGCCTCCACCAAATTTCTCTTCACAGTTTTTCACATTTAAAAATGGATTTAGCAGATTAAAATCCTCTGACAAAAAGGCTTTTTTAGTGGCATAACAAGCAAGCACAGAGGGGTATGGCTTTTTAAGGCAGAAAAAAAGCTTTCCTACAAGTGTCACAGTTATAACTATCTTTACACCAATTATTTTGTTACACGCATTAAGGACTAAACTGAGCTTTGCAACACAGATTATAAAATACTTATATATACACACCCTTCAGTTTTATGTAACTATACTGCTTGAAAAATTGGTTAAACTCTTAATAATAGGCATGTACTTTGTATATAACAAGTGTAGTAGTTCTAAAGGCTGGAAAATATGTTTGTCCATAATTAACAATGTTCTCAGTGCTCTTCCAGACACCAAATGGAGACAGTCCCTGCTCTGATCCTGCAAACAGATCGGTGAAAGTAAATGGGATTCAGGAACCTGGCTGTCTTCGGCTCCTTAGAAAATCCCAGCCTAAATCTTATTTGTCTTATTATTTATTAATATTGTGGTAGCGTCCATGAGGCCCAGTTGAGGTCCAGGATATCACTGTGCTAGGCACTACACAAACAAAGACAGTCCCTTGCCCCGCATTTTTATATTCATATACACACTCTCCAGCATTTCAGCCAGTAACGGTTAAAACCTGTGCCCTGAAAATCCTGAGTCAGTAGGCCACACAAGTACCCTGACCTATTACAAAAAAGATTCCAGAACAACCGATTTCTACTTAGCTTAAAAGAAATCTATTGTCGGAAAATCAAAGTTGTGTTTAATTTTTAATTTAATTTTATTTTTTGGGGGGGAAAAAAAAAAAAAAAAAGAGAACCACCAACTTAGAGTCCTCATTACACTATTAATAGCTACTATGCCAAAAGCTACATTACTGTTTCATTCCCTAGCAAATTACTGTTTCATATGCAGGCAAAACAAGTGGAACCTTTGGTTGTTAGGTGTTACTGGTGCCAACTTACTTTGTAATAGTCATATAGTAATCCCAGGGCAGCTGCACTGTCTTCGTCACCATTGATGCTCATCATGGCTTTGGTGGCTGCTGTAAGGGGATTTTCAAGGAAGGACTTCCAGGCTTCATCTTCACTGGTGTATGGACGCCTCTGGGAGTAGAGAGAGTCATTCTGAAGAACCAACACGGGCCTTTTGCTTTGGTCATAAAAATATGAATCTTTGTTATAATGCATCCAAAAAGTATATAATAAGCATGTTTCACAAACTTTGTAACATTTAAGAATTAGCGGGCAGGTTTTTACTATGTTAATATTATGACTTAATGTGACACAGTGGTTAGTCAACAGAAAGACCAGGGATACAATTCTGATCTCATGTATGTCAGTGGAAATCAGGAGTGACCTCATTGAATTCAATGGTATTACATCAGTGAGATCACAAAACTGCTGAAGATGATAGCTGGCCAGCTAACAAATATTTGGAATCCAACATAGAACAATAAAAATGTTATGAATTTATTAGCCTAAGACACACAGTACTATTAGCATGTTATTAAACAAAAAGATATTGTACAGCAGTAACTTGCTACTAATTCATTCAAGCTCTCTCTATGCACTATAGAGAGTCAATGGTTTCATGCTTTGTCATGCAAGACTAGAGAGAGTTCACATTAACAAATACCACTGTCATGTTATAAAACAGAGTTAACTCTACTTTCCTATGTCTGACAATTCCCTCAGAAGACAACTTATTTAATTATTGGGGTATATTTGAAAGTTTTTGAAAGCTGCTGATATTCCATGTATAGTATACATGGAATGTAGCCAAAGGAGACCATAAATCAACAAGGCAGTGCAATTTTCTGGCAATAGAAGCCAAGCGGTTTATTGTATGTTTACCTTTGAGATAATCTGTAATAATGTCTTGAGAGACAATCCCAGTGGGCTATCAGGAAAGAAAATCTACCTACACACAACTCCCCCCCCCACACACACAAAAAGTGTGGGTATTACCACTGTGAAAATAATCAGATTTGTTCAAAACATTTTGTTCTTATTGTGAAGGAGAAAACCCCAAGCACTCACACAGGTGGAAGCAGGGAGAGATGCTGTTTGCTGCAAAACAGTTTTACCAACCTAAACAAGTTAATATTTTAAATTCAGCTTTTTTTAAAATATATGCCTCATCCACATTGGCCAGACAAACAAACAATGTTGAAACCATGTTAGCTTGAACTGGTTTTAAACCAGTTCAAACAGTTCCCCCATGCTTATTCCCACCTCCAGTGTGCACAGAGGCCTAGTTGATGTTTACTACACGTTCTTTGTTTTTCAAAAGTCGAAAGTCTCTTTTAAAAAAAAACAAACAAACAAACAACAACAACCAACCAACCAACAAAAAAAAACAACAACCCACAAACACCCACCACTCCACACCATACAACCACCATCCATTAAGAAATAGGAACATCTTTTTTGTTGAACTTACTCCCAGGACTATTCAAAGATTGTAACATATTAGAATATTGAAGGAATGAAACACTATCGTCAACTTAATAAATATCCTGCATTTATAACTCCTTTCACCTAGGAAAATTATTAAGTGCTTTGCAAACTATGGATTTGAATCTGTGAATCCTTACTCACCCAAGCGGGCTCAGCGACGTCATGGGGACTACTTGCATGATTTAAGAACAACTCATGTGAGTAAGGGTTTGCAGGTTCTGGATAAAGGGGGATTTATACATACACACAGAGTGGCTGTGTGTCAGTCTGTAAAATGAGCCACCTTTGGTGTAGAGTGTAGCAAATTGGCACACAGCAAATTGTGCAACAATGGGATGAGTTTAAATTTTCTCCAAAGACACAGGGCAAACACCTACTCTTCTGGAAATGAAACAGAATTTTTAGATGTTCACACAGAGCGGACAGGCCCTCGAATTAAGGTCATATAAAAGACTGAGCCACCTGTAGTAGCCTGCATGGAACTCATTTTATCTACCTTCTTAAAGTTGAAGGACTGAGTTAACCTCGCTTGGCATTTAAACTTGCTATTGAGACCATAAAACCATTCCCTTTCAGCAATGTGAAAAGATCCATATGGAAGAAAAATTAATCTAAACGCAAAACCATTCAGAACTGAACAAGCACTAAACTGAAATCCAGTAAACTCAGAAACTACAATATTTTTTGTAAGACTCGTCTCTCGTTGCAACACCCAAATAAAATGCACAATTGCCCTAAAGGTAACCTACCTCCTCTAAAAGGAGTGTAGAAAGAATTATCTTTAGAATTATCAACAAAGTGTAGGGTTTGGCAGTAACTCAATCTCTTAACAGGATTACAGGTTCTTTTAAGAAAATGAGAACATATTTATAAAAGACAGTCAAACATGTGTTTTTCTGACGATTGACCTGTGATGAGTTTTAGACTTCCATATGTATATTTGGCAGTGATCTGTGCATAAAAGTACTGGACGCTATTAGCAAGTTTTAGAAATAAGTCTTCTAGTGTGCATTTAAATACTTGAAAAAAGTTGATTGATTTTCTGCTTGACCAAATTACAAAAAAGTAGGAAAATGTGACAGGAATGTGTGTTCTCTGCATTGTAGCGATATTGTGCCAATGCTGACCTCATGTCACACTTATTCCTGGCAATATTTTCCTACTATTTTTTTTTCTGGGGGTGGGGGGAGGCAATTTGTTCATGTAGTAGAACCTGTTATTTCTGACAAACCCAATAATTCTCTCTCAAAAGAAAAAAAATCCCATTGTCACAATCCATTTACTAGCACACTCAATAATAGAGTGCTTTTTATTGTTATTTGTCTTACACAGAGCGTGTGGTTGGTGCTGTAGCAAACACACAGATAAAGACAGTCTCTGTCCCAATGACTTTACAGTCCAGAAGACAGAGAGAGATTTAGACATGGGGCTGTTAGGCCTCATCTCCATTAGGGAGACGCTCAACAAAATTCCCCATGAGGTCTCCCATTTTTTAAGACTTACCAGTACTTTTACAAAGTAGCATTAGCCCACTTACTAGAATAATGACAACTTATAAAAGACCCAGCCTACAACTGTCCAAGTAAACAAAGCATATTTTGTGATGCATTCAGACTTACAGCTGCCAGTTTATAAAGTTAAAAAAAAAAAAGTAGTCATTTGTAAGAAGTCTTCAGGTCAAAATTGAGAATTAGTAAGGCTCTCTCTGTACTTATCTGGCACCCATCACCCTATTTGGCCACCTTGAACAATTTTGAATAATTATTCATATTATTATAGCATCAAATAGCCCTCGTCATGGACCACGACCCCATGATGCTATATTTTGTATACACAAACAACAAGTATGCAATACATATATATACACACACATCTAGATTGGTAACCTTTATCATTATCTATGTAATTGCAAATCAGTTTGAATTCAACTACTAGAATCCAACACTTTAAGCACAAACATGTTCTAATAGAAACATCTACACTTTGCAGTACTATAATGTATTGTTTATAAGATATACTATAAAAAACCCAGACATCTGAACACTAGTTTTTGCTAAATACCCTCCTATGAAGTGAAATCTTATTCCTGTTTAGTACTTAAATTGTCAAAATCTAGAGCTAGTAGTAACTGAATGACTGATGGATCTCAAACCACTAACAAGGACCTCAGAATATTGCACAAATAAACTTTGTACATATTTGATGATTGGCTGATTAGCATTACCGGAATGTGTAACAAACCGCCATACAGAGATTAAGAATCAAATTAATTTTGGAACATCTGCACATGCACATTTCTCTTTCAGAAAGCAGGAGCATTCCACATGTAATAAGAAAAGGAGGACTTGTAGCACCTTAGAGACTAACCAATTTATTTGAGCATAAGCTTTTCTGAGCTACAGCTCGCTTCATTGGATGCTACTCTGAAACCTGTCATTATGTAAGGCACTGCATTTAGCCGTATGGAGTGGAAATCCATCAACTGCATGAAAATACAGACTAACACGGCTGCTACTCTGACACATGTAATAAGAAGTACTGTTTCAAATATCAAGCATACATTCCAAATTTGAGGGGAGAGATTTAAAGCACACATTCTTATTTTTAAAATTTTATAATATGTTCATAACTTTTACAAACTTGAGATTTTAAAATAGATCTTGGTGGGGAAAAAAGCATTTTAAAAGTCATTTTTAGATATTGCCCTGTATTCCATGTTCTTGAATAGAAAACAGCCTACATTATCCATGCTGGAAATGCTACAAGAAATCACAGAACTGGAAGGGATCTCGAGAGGTCATCTAATCCAGTCCCTGAACTTGTGGCAGGACTAAGTATTATCTAGATCATCCCTGACAGGTATGTGTCTAACCTGTTCTTAAAAATCTTCAATGATGGAGATTCTACAACTTCCCTAGGCAATTTATTCCAATGCTTAACCACCCTGACAGGAAGTTTTTCCTAATGTCCAACTTAAACCTCCCTTGCTGCAATTTAAGACCATTGCTTCTTGTCCTATCTTCAGAAGTTAAGAAAAATAATTTTTCTTCCTCATTCTTGTAACAATCTTTTACATACTTGAAAACTGTTATGTCCCCTCTCAGTCTCCTCTTTTTCAGACTAAACAAACCAATTAATTATTTGTATTTAATGTGTGTATTACACATACAATAAGGACCAGTCCAAGTGTCTGCCTATACAAGGCTACCATTGCTCCACCACAGCACCTACTTGCACAGAGCAAATAGTGACTACAACTTTATAACATATAGGCACAAAGACAAGGTCTGCTCTCAAAGAGTTCACAATATAATATTTTGGACTTCTGAAAATGGTAAAGATTGTTAGATTTTCCAACTGACACTGCTAAGAACACCAGATTACCTGGGGAAGTCCATTTTTCCAGTAGCGTGGGTTTCATAAAAATCCATCAGATCTTGGTCCTACAGCATATAAGAAGCTTGTATTTTAAAAGACAGTTTTTACAAATCTGTTGCATCAAGGTCTAACACTGCCAAAGGCCAAACCCAGGAAATCTCTTTAAATTAGAGCAACAATGTTCAAGTCATTAAAAAAACCTAGGTGTGCCTCAGATAATGATGTCCCAGTTAACGCTGCTCTCACTTCCCAGCCCTTGTTCTTAAATCTTCAAGAGGAGAAAAAAGCAGCACACCGCGCAATTCGGTAAGATCCTGCATTAGAAAAGCTCTTCGAAACAAGTGCTGTGGGCGGGGTGAATGTCTACAGCCCCCTGTGCACTTCTGAAGGCTGAGAGGCTCCTCCTGACAGACACGGACTGATTATTCGCCGCACTCAGCATTTAAAGAAGAGTGGAGGAGGAGGAGGAGGAAGAAGATGGTGACCAACGCCTCAGTACAGGTGTCGAGTTTCAAAGCCGGACTGTCTTCTCTATAGTTTGATTATAACAGAAAGTGAGCGAGAGAAGAGAGAGCGATTCCAGAACAAAGAACTAAACTAAACTTCAGACACAGGAGGATCCTGAAAGAAAAGGAGTACTTGTGGCACCTTAGAGACTAACCAATTTATTTGAGCATGAGCTTTCCTGAGCTACAGCTCACTTCATCGGACACATTCAGTGGACCCTGATCCTCACAGCTTCCCCCAGCAGCAAGCGGGCCATTGGAGATCCCATTGCTGCACGCAGGGTTGATGGGTCCCAAAGATGCAGGCTAACGCTCGGAGGCCACTACAGAAACCTATGGGCTAAGTCAGAAGTTTTCCTCCCAGGCGGAAGACGTGAAATTTCCCTCTGCCAGAAATAAATGCCTGACTTTGTGGTTGTTATCCGATCCGCGCCCGGGAGCGCTTTATTTAAACGGGGCAGAACGGGTTCGGAAAATCGACAGAGGGGATCTCGGCGGATTTAACGCAAGAGCTTGTACCATGCAGCGCGGAGCGCCTGACCATCTGCCGGCCCTATGCGGGACAGAGATAAACCCGCACGCCCAGAGGCCCCGCGCTGCACTGGGAAGGGGGGGTCCGTAGAAGGAGAAAGGAGGTCAGGCGCTAGGTCCTGGCTGAAGTTTCTGTACCTCACCCCCGGCTGCCGCAGGTGCTCCAGAATCTGCCAACGTACAAACACACACAGCCCCGCTCGTGGGGGACACCCCGGAGATCTGCTCAGCGCCCCCCTCACCGCCTGTGTCCGGCCGGGCCGCTTGAAAGGAGCAAGACTATTTCACCAAGGCCGAATAGGGTCAGGTAGGTGCCCGGCTACGGGGCACCCGCCCCAAACCCACCAACAGGGAGAGGCCGACGCTAACCCCCAGTCACTCGGGCGGCTGCTGCCACTCCCTCCTAGAGATCCTGCAATGCTACACGGCCAGCCACCTTCATCCGCTACTCCCGAGCTCTCCTCCCCCGGCGCCCGTCCCGCAGGAGCCCACAAGACAGGGCGAGGATCACCAGGTCACCCCCTTTCCCAGCCCGCAGAAAGAGACGGGCAGCAGCGCCGGTCGGACCTGCCCAGACTCCCTCCCGCTCGCTCACTTACTTGTCGTAGTCTTGTGTCATGTCTGGCAGCCAACGGGTGGCAGAACTGGCCCGGCGGGTTGGGACGGTGGCTGGCGGCAGCCCGGGCACTGGGGAGGGGGCTAGAGCCAGAGCAGCGCGCAACCTGCCGCACAAACGGGTTTTGTCAGCTTTTCTGGCTAGCTCAGGTGGCTCTGGGATCCGCAGGTGGATCGCACCTGTGGCCCGCTTCCCATTGGCTCGCAGAGTTCCCTTGGGGGCGGAGCCTCAGTCGCCCAACTCCCCAGGGAGACGCCTAATCAGGTACAGAAGGGCGGGGTTTGGTAACGTTGCGGGTTCTAAATAGAATCTCGGCCGCCAGAGGCTGAGACCGCGCTTGCTGGGCAGGTACCTGTTGAGCTCCAGACGCCTTCTGAACTGCAGCCCCCTGCCACTGCAGCACCCATAGGACCCTAAATCGTGGCCCGCTTCACCACACAGCCCCTAAGAGATCCTCCCTCCCCCTTTGCCCAGACCCTAGCTGGAGAGAAGTGAATGATGCGGGATGTGTTACAACACAACACAGGTGAAAAAGACACCAAAGTATGACAGAAATTGGGAAGCAGAAGAGTCAGCTAGGCCCTGAGCCTGCTAGACAAACACTGGCTGCTGCAGCATGGGCCTAGGCCTTGTTCCAGTCCCAGGTGGGAAGTGGTTATATTAAACTGTAAACTGAGTTATGATTCCTTATTGTCCACCTTTCCCCTGAACATGGGATCACTCTTGTTATAGAGGTGAATTCTCCTGTGGGCAAGTCACTTTTCCCCTGCAAAATACAATCATCTCTTAACTAGAGGCTTGCTTTAGTCCACTTTACTATCTGCATGTTACAAAGCATAGGAAGTATTCGGGCACATCCCTCTATCTTACTTGAACAATTTCATGAGCTTGTTTCCACAATGTTTTCTGAAATTTTCCCACCACAGCACTAGAATGAAGCCCCTAACACAAAGACAGTCCCTGCCTGGACAAGGTTCCCAGGCACTACTGCAATTTCTAATAAAAACATTTCTCTCATTGCACATTGGTTCCCATTCTTCCCCCTCACTCCACATTAGCCTCAGTCTTTTATTTTTCTGCATTACTTCCATGCTTAAAAAAAGTTAGTCTAGAGAAGATTTAAAGAGACAAGAAATGTGTGTGAACCCTGTACATATTGACGAATTATATTGTAACCAAATGCAATTACACACCCCCATCATAGAAGACTGCTAACAGAACTTTTTTGGCACAAAAGAAGGGAAAGTTTAAGACAGAACTAGAACTGCAGCAGTGATAGCTTCAAAGCCTTCTTGGGTTCCACCATTGCTGCAAACAACCAAATATCTTTATACCCAAAAAGATGCATACAAACATCACCTCTGAGGCTATGTCTACACTGCACACTTTACAGCAGCACACCTGACAAAATAATACCACCTCCCAAATCCCTACACTACTTTAAAGGATGTACTCCAACATAAAACCCATAGAAGGACAATTCCACCAACCAAAGGAAATATGAAACTGAAGGGAACAAATCCTCACTAAGGGCCTGCATATGGAATTTTACCTTCCTCTGCTTCCACTGGCTCTTTTGAAACTAGCATTCTAGCAACCAACATTTTCATGAGCAGCAAACGTCTAATATCATCTGGATAAGTACTGTAATCTAATTTAGACTCCGTCCTATCAAAGTGAATGATAAACTGCTTTAGACGGTCCTTTGTGCCACAAAATGAAAGTCAGTTTTATTTTTAAAAAATACATACAAAATATTCCCCTTTTGCAGCCCAGAATAAACAGAGAATAATTCCTTATGCTCTCTGTATAGCGGATGATAAACTAGAATCCAACTATATAATACAATGCTGGGTATTTCTCTAAAATCTGGGTTGGTTCGTTTCTAGTATAAATCACAAAAGCAACTAAGTGAGAAGCATAGGGAGAGATTTCCAACTTTCTTAGGTGTTGTATATTTTTGCACTGCTCACTTTTGTTCTGTCTTGAAGTTGCTAGGGATGCACAGATGCAAATTTCATTTGAGTCTATTCTCTGCGGTGCTTATGCATAACCATTATTATTATTTATTATTAACAACAACAACAAAATACCACCACACTTGGCAGACTTTATGTGGGCTCAATTCAGGCATGGTGTCAGAGCCACACCCCTGAAGTCAGGCGTCACCCTATTTACATCAGGTCTGAACTGCTAAAATCCCATTGAAGTGTCATATATGTTCTGCATTTCTTTCCAAATAGAATGTTTATCAGGGTTTGTTTGTTTGTTTTCTAAACTTTAAATAGAAGTTCCTGCCTTTTTAAAGGAACTGTTCTTCTTGCCCGATTGATTCATTGATGACAGTCCACTTTGGCTACATCTACACTTGGAGCCTGGGTCTAATTCCCAACTCAAATAGGCACTGGCACTATTGAGCTAGTGCACTAAAAATAATCGTATAGCTGCGGGAGCATGGCAGCAGTGGCATGGGCACTTGCATCCCAAGTACGTATCAATGAGGTCCAGGCAGGTTATACGCGCAGTGGCTAGCCCTTGCTGCCACTGCTTTTGCTACCGCAGCTACACTAATATTTTTAAGCACGCTTGTTCTGTCAGAGCTAGCACAAGTATGTCTACTGGAGCTGGGAATCACACCACTAGCTCCAAGTGTAGACATAACCTGAGTGATATTGCAATAATTTCAATGCTGAGGAGACACAATGGTACAAATCTGGATTGACACCCCATTGACTGACCTGCCAGTCACACGCTAGCCTTTGTAATACCATTGTAAATACCTCTCCGATGTCACTTGCAGGACTGCTTAAGTCACTGAATGCAAGAGGCCCAAGCGGATATTTGCAATGGGGTTACATCGTGGAGACATGGTCCTGACTCTCTACCATCTTGCACCTTGTAGTCATTCACACTTGTGCAAAGTGGTATAGAGTTGTACCAGTCTGACTGGGTAGCATTTTGAAAGGAGACTCCCTGCCATGTGTTGATTGGCTGTTTGCTCCATCGCCCTCCCTCACAGTCCCTGCACCTCAGCCTCATTCCACTCTTGCCCCTTATACCTTCTTTACTTCCTCCCCTCTCTGTTTTCCCCTGTCCTGTCCTTTTCACCCCCCCTTGCTTCACTTTTCCCTCTCTTTTCTCTTCTGTTTAGAAAATCCCCTCCTAACTGAACCCCATCCAAAAGGAAAAACAAAAAAAGAAAAACTGGAATTTACTTGCTATTTGCTGCCATCACACTGATCATTCTGCTTGTGCATCACACTGATCACCCGGTGTCTGTCTTGTCTATTTAGATTATAAGATCTTCTGGATAGGGAATGTCTACTACTGTATTTGTACAGTGCCTACCAAAATGTGGCAGTACCCTAATGAACAAAAAATAATAAAATGTTATACTAACTTTGAAAAGGTGTCAATGCCTCCACAAGGTACAAGGCAGTGGAGAATCCAGCCCAAAGTGCTTTATATAAAATCTGTATGACAACAAAGTCCCTGCCCATAGAACAGATTCCGTGTTAGGGGTTAGCAATGTAGGTGGCTACAAAAAGTGCTTAATTTTCCCCACACTGCTTTACAGAAAACAGAAAGGATTTCAGCACTCTGTACAGTCTGTCTTGTTAACTCTTTAGCAAAAGCTTCCTTCCCCTTCCTGCAACAGACTCACAGGGTTTTCTGTGGCTGGAGCATGGATTTGGAAAAGGGAGGAGACCCTGAGTTTGGATCCCAATTCCCTTCACAGCCAACCCCAAGGCAGAGGATTAGAAAGGAGGGAGAAGTGCCCAAGAGCTGAGGTTTCTGCAAACACAGGGAAATAAGAGAGTGCAAAGAGAAAAAGGAGAAGAGTAAAAGTGAATAAGATAAGGAGACTCAGGGAATGTGGAGAGGGCAGTTGGGATGGGAGGGAGAGAGCACCTGGGGTAAGAAAGAGAGAGGAGAAAACAACAAAGAGGGAAGAGATGGACAAATGTGGATAAAAAAAGAAAAAGGGGAAATATATAAAGTATGAAGAAAGAATGGGAAAATAGTATATAAGTTTTATTTTCACTTCATTTATATCCCTCTATGCTAAATTGTGTTTTATAGGAATCCTTTAAGGAGTTGATGTTATTTTAAATACATATTCACACACCCACAGCTGAAATAGTTGCCATTTTTTTCCAGACTGAGTCAGAGGCTAGGAGGTCAGGCTCCACCAGTCTAAATTAGACATGATACCGAAAAGGGGTATAATACAAAGTCATCCAATATTCACTTAGCTCACATTTTATATATTATTTTTTGTTCATTCAACTTAAGGTCTAGAGCAGGGGTGGGCAAACTTTTTGGCGCGAGGGCTACATCGGAGCTGTGAAATTGTATGGAGGGCTGGGTAAGGAAGGCTGTGCCTCCCCAAACAGCCTGGCCCCCACTCCCTATCCGCCCCCCCCATCAGAATTCCCAACCCATCCAACCCCCGCCCCTTGTCCCCTGACCACCTCCTCCCGGGACCCCCCACCCTAACCATCCCCTGGAACCCCCCCCATCCAACCCCCCCTGCTCCCTGTCCCCTGACTGTCCCGACCCCTATCCACACCCCTGCCCCCTGGGACTCCCACGCCTATCCAACTGACCCCTGCTCCCCGTCCCGACTGCCTTGACCCCCAGAACCTCCGCCCCATCCAACCCCCCCGCTCCCTGTCTGCCCCCCAGGACCCCCTGCCCCTTATCCAATCCCCTCCCCACTCCCTGTCTGCCCCCCAGGACCCCCTGCTCCTTATCCAATCCCCTCTCCCTTGCTCCCTGCCCCTTATCCAATCCCCTCTCCCTTGCTCCCTGCCCCTTACCATGCTGCTCAGAGCGGCAGGACTGGCAGCCGTGCCACCTGGCCGGAACCAACTGCACTCCCCACATGGTGGTGAGGGAAGGGGGATAGAGGGGGAGGGGCCAGGGGCTAGCCTCCCCGGCCGAGAGCTCAAGGGCCAGGCAGGATGGTCCCATGGGCTGTAGTTTGCCCACCTCTGGTCTAGAGTTCCATATACAGGAAAGA